GCACTCTGGAAGGCTGAGACAGGAGCCTAGCGAGACCCATCACTAAACACACACACACACACACACACACACACACACACACACACACACACACACGGGCTGTAGCTCAGGGCAGAGGCCCTGGAGTCACGACCTAGTACCTCCCACACACGTAAACTCCAATTCCTCATTCCCCCACCACCTCTATATTCTTTATCTCGAGTCTGGTTGCTTTCCTTGGAGCTTGTTGTCACCTACACGCCTGCACACTCTGCATATTCACTCGGCTTTTCTTTGATATGAACTCCCCAACCCATGCACAAAGATGCTAGAGCCAAAAGCCTAGGAGGTCAAGTAGCATACTGCTCTGTTATTATTGAACCTGCCATGCCTAGAACGTAAGAGTTTGGCTACTGGATAAATGCTTTCTTGTAATGTTACAGTTTGGACATTTCTTTCTCCCAGTCTACAAACGTAACTATGCATTTCCAGGAAAAGTGAAAAACTGACACCATATTGACCACTGACCATCCAATTCTTAATTCAACGAACATGATTTTCTTCTATGCCTCAGTGTACAGCTTGTACACGGAGGGAAAGAACTAGAAGAGGTATTCAGTGGGAAGTGTCCTGACCAGACAATAAGCTCACACCCGTACACACCAGGTGCCTCTCAGAAATTTTGAAAGCAAAGATCCAGACCCTCAAGTAGGAGTAGGTGCTCAGGCGTAGCAGGATCTGGCTTGAGTAGTGGGTACCATTAGCAAAGTCATCTGTGGAGAGGAAAGCCGTCCTTAGTGAAGGAAAAAGGCATAAAGAAAAACCATGAGGGGAGCCCTCCTTAGGAAAGAGGTGAAAGTCTACCTATAAAGGCTATAACAGCCTCGCTATAAAAGAAAACGAGTTACCTGACATATGGGGAACCATCTTTTGGGCGGTGCTAACTAAACCGCGGAGTGCATGCAGGTAGGAGTGAGACAGAGGACGGCGTCAATCAGTAGGACCTACTTGTTTGCTCAGTTAAAGAAAAAGAATGACAATGAATGTGGCATTTGGGGGAATTCACTCTGGAACAATTAGGTGGTGACCAGGGACAGGGCGGAGCCTAGACACTGACTTAGGAACTGCTGCAATAATGAAAACCGACGTAACTGAAGAGAAAGTGGATAGAGCTGGGGCACAGGCAAATGCTAGACACACGTAACAGCATCTTACAATAGACACGGTTTGAGATAGAAAGAAGCAGCCTGGAAAACCCCTGAATAAGCATTGTGCACAATCACGTCCTCGTGCATACACAGAAGAGTGTGTAGAATAAGGGAAGGGAGAAATCCACTCCACAGGGGAAACTGTGCGCACTGTACCTACTAATATAAGCTACTGCTTGCTGTTGGGTGTGTATGCTGAAGGCACCATCTGAAACGCACTGGCTTGGAATAGCAAGTGCTGCCTTTTCCTACAGGACCAGACTGTGCTCTTAGGAACCCCAAGGGGCATGCGCTCTCTGGAGGGAACACCAGGCTCAAGCTCCCAGATTGCACATTTGGGTACCATTAGCAGAGGAGGACTCGTAGCCTCCAGCACCAGGGGACCATGCAAGAATAAGGTCATCACCAAGGCGCCAGGGCCCAAGCCACTGGGGACGTGGTGCCTGAGAGCAACACCTCTCAGAGAGTGTGGAGACCAGAGAAAGACTGATGTGCACACCAGCCCATCTTGGTCATTTCCAGCAGGACCTTGGCCACAAAAGCTACTCATGGGAGCCAGGCAGGGGGACCATCCCCAGGGAGATCAGCTTGACAGCTGTGGAGCCCAGGTGGCTAATATTGATGAGAGCCCTCTCTGAGAACATGGGGTGGAGCTCATGGTTAAAAGCAGGTCAGCTCAGTTCTGTGTTGAAATAGAAATACAAGTAGTGATTATTCAAGATTTTTCACCACCTAAGTCCCCTTTGAAGTGTCCGTGGAGAGCCTCTCCAAACACAGCAAGACGGAAACAATTCATATTCTCCAGGCTTTCAGCATTTTAGTGCATTTCAGGTCTGAGGAGTTTGTTCTTTGTGTTCAACTACTCAATCTCAGGTCAATTTTCTGTCTTAAACAGGCTCTTGCCAAAGGAAGATGCCACCCCTTAGGCTGACACCATGAGGTCAGTAAGATCACTCTCAATAATTCTTCTACAAGGCCCCAGGACTCCAATATATTTTGTCTTGCATTTTGTATGAAAAGGCTTGTGCATACACATATGAGTACATGTATGTGTGTGCATATGCTTATATATGTGTGTGCCTGTGTATACACAGAGCAATCTCTCTTAATGACCATTACAATCACCCCTAGTAGGGTGGCATTTTGCATACCTTTATTAAGTTTTGTGAGTTTAGGATCAAACCTATCTCTGGTCCTCACATCTGACTTATTTTCCTTTCTCTGTTAGCGTGTCCAGGGTCCTGACCCTCTGCAGCAGGGCTGAACAATGAACGCAAGCCTGCTGCTCCCATTTCCTCAGAGAACAAAAGTCAGAACTTTGGACTGAATGGCAGCACTGTTTAGACTGAGATGGAAGCTAACAATGAGCTTTCCATGGACCGTTTCTTATAATCATGCAGAAGTGATGCCGTGCTAGCCCCACCCCAGGGGTGCGCTGAGCCAGTGACTGAGACTGGGCATGGTGGCACGCGCCTGTATTCCCAGTGCTTGGGAGGCTGAAAACAGGAGGATCACTACGAGTCCGATCTGTGTAGTGAGACCCTGAAAACCCTGTACTAAAAATACATTAAAAATAAATAAATAAATAAATAAATAAATAAATAAATAAATAGATTAAAATAACATAAAATAGGGAATGTGCTGAAGCAGATCTGGTATGATGCCAAGCAAAGACAAGAAGTTGTCAGGAACTAACTTTTTAACAAGTTGTCAGGAAAATAAATGACTCTGGGCCTTTAACAAGTTGTCAGGAAAATATAATTTTTACTCTTATTTTGGGCAGGTGCCATACCAAATTCTGTGGATACTCCAGGTCCTGGAAGGTGGCTTTGCCGTGTAGACTTCCATCATGTCTTGAGTTTCAGAAGCCCACATCTCTCAGTGGAGCAACAATGACTAACATCTTGGACCCAACAGAGGTGTCGTGTCCAGGCCCCTGGGCAGAGGGCACAAGTGGAAAGAGCCTTCTTCTCCCCAAAATTCCCTTCTGGTAACACAGACACACCTGTAATCCTACTCTAGGATTACTGTAGTCACTCATAGAAAAATAACATCACAGTCTCGAAAGTAGAGTAAAGGTTCTCTGTTACTGAGAAACGTACGCCTCCACCATCTTTGTACACTGCACACAGTGTCTGCCTTTCCTCTTAATTGACCCAAAGAGTTGGTCAGTTGTAGTTGGTGATTCAATTAGGAAGCCTCACTAAGCACATTCCCTCCCAGAGCCAGCATGTGTTCCCGCCCAAATGCTCTGCAATGTATTTACTCTTGAGTGTAGATTAAATAATCTATCCTGTCAGCCATTGCTGCTGCGGCACAAGCAAGAATCCTAAGTGCTCAGGGTACTGTGCAGAATCAGGTTCTATATAAAAGGAATGTACAAAGGGCACTTTAGTATGCCAAGTCTCATCTTCAGAGTGGGCTCTGTCTCCAAGCGTGAGCAGGGCCATATGAAGCTCATGTCTTGGGACTGGATCTTTGCATTGTAAAAGTTACACCACATGATTTACACAGATCTTTGCATATGTACCTTTCCAAATGTTTGGACTATTATAATATGGCTTTGCAGAGGTAAAATCCAGGATGCTTTGACTATGTTTATGTATCTTCAGCACAACATTTTTACTGGGTGAAAGTAAACAAAGAAGAAATTTATGTTTAATCTGGAAGCCTACTTCCTCGTTGTAGGAATATTCAAAAATTTCACCTGTTCAAACTTTGCACATGATCCACACAAGAAGCCCTCACAGGTGACCTACTAACTATATCCTAGCATTCTCTATGTGAATTCACAGATTCCAAAGTGTACTAGAAGGACATGTCTTCTGCCATGGGCAAATGATTCTGTTTAAGAGAAAAATATGGATTGCCTACCCACTAAGCACTTTATGCTTCATAGAAATCAAAATTTGGTCCACAACACCTCATCCCAGAATCCTGCATCTTTGCCAGAGGGCATGGCATCTGAGGGCTGGGCAGGAGGTTGGGAACACAAGTTCCCACCCACAGCAGATGTTGCTTGATGGCCCTAGGGAGTCAAAGTGCTGCCTACAGGGGGCACAGCTCCGTCAGCACCAGCGCCTACACCCAGGTGGCCTTCAATTAGTGTTGATGGGTTGACTTTCTCAGGACCAGTAAAAGCTCTATTTGTAGAGATGGTTCCTATGAGACTAAAATCAATAATTTAAGAAAATTGTCTTGGATTCTATGTTTGTGGCAACAGAACATGTATAAAAAACCATACATGTTAGTTCTCATTTCTTCTAAAAAGAAGGTGTTTTTTTTTTCCAGCTCACTGATATACTAAAAGCTTCTCCATAATTTTCCCCACTTTAAGCATACGCAGCCCATCAATGTGAGTGAAATACAAATAGGACTGTGTCCTAAGAGTGGTTAGGAAGAGCTCAAGGGCCACATATCCGAAGAAAAGATGCCATTAGTAATAATAACTTGCAATCACAGTAATAAAGATTGGCTGCTAGTCCATTTGAGTTTCTTGTCATCCTTACAACATAGATTCTGATAGCCTCGTAGGGTATTCTGGCTGTTCTGCAGGGGCAGACAAGAGTGTTTTTGAAGATGTGCCAGAAGGGACCATTTAATTTGAAAGCAAAATGAGTTTCCTCTTCAGCCTCCATCCCAGTCCTGGGTGTCACTCTGGGGTCAGGTGACAGCTGGGGAAGCAAGCTCTCCTCAGGCAAAGCAGAGTCCTGGTGGCAAGGGAGGGCCTTGGCTACCTCGGCAGGTCTGCTCCAGACGCTGGGGCCGAAGGGGAACGCGAGCAGAGAAGCGGAGCCTGGAACGCCGGGCAAGATGGGAAGCGGGATCAGCGCCGAGAGCAAGGAGTCAGCCAAGAGGTCCAAGGAACTGGAGAGGAAGCTTCAGGAGGACGCCGAGCGGGACGCCAGAACCGTGAAGCTGCTCCTCCTAGGTAAAGCCTTCCCTTCTGCTTCCAGAGCCAGAGAGCACTTCCATTACGGTGCGTGCGCTTTTCTCGCACTTCGCTTCCCAGTGAGTTTCCATCCGGGGATTTGTTATGAGAACTGTTTGGAAACTTCAGTAGACTTTATGTGAGCTGTGTATACAAATTTTGTAGCTTTTTGTGTTTATAGCATATTTTTGATAAGCAATGATGGGTATTTATTTATAGCATATTTTACTTTACTTCAATGCATGATTAACTATCATTAAAAAGTTAAAATACATTTATCATTTTATCACATCCTAATCTTTGCCTAAGTGTCAGGTTTTTTTCTACAAAAAACCACCCTCTAGTTATAAACTATAAATATCTATTTTGTTTTGTTTGAACAAAACTATGGTAAGTAGTTTGACACCAAAGTTGATATGTTATTTATTTGGTTGTTAAAGTCAATCGATGTCAAATTACTAATGAAGTAATTATAAAGTACTTTGTGTCAATAATTTTTTCTCATTCGTGGCTCTGGCATGCGAAGACGTGGTAGACCTGGAAAATGCTGTATCTAAGTTCCCCTGAATGCTTATGCATCTGCACAGTTCAGACTTCACATCTGTTCTATTTTTCATTCCCTCCAAGTATAGCACAGTGATTTATCACACTGAAACTTTCATAGAATTCAACTGGTGGAAAGTGCAAAAATAATCTTGACCAATTATTGCTTTTATATTTTCTCTTATTTTATAAAAATACATATCTAAGTGACTAAGAAGAAAAAGTGAATGAATATTACGATTTAGACAAAGGTAGATATTATTGAACATGACAAACCCAGTGACTCTGCAGCAGCCCATCGGAGGGGCGGGGAGCTGGAGACCCAGCTGCAGAGGGAACAAACAGGCAAAAGCAGTGTATGGGGGACAGGAACCCAGCACTGGAAGCTGAGGGTGATGGGGGGACTAGAAAGTGAACAAAGGTTTTCAATTATGGAATAAGAATCAGTGGATCATTGACACAGCAGTTTCCAGAATTGGAAAAGATTGCCGCTCCTCAGAACTCCTGGTTGAAGCCCAATTTGCTGTGTAAGATATGAACAATGCCAACTACCTGCAGGCTTAAGTGAAGACTTGGACGAGAAGAAAATGCAAGGGTTGCCCAAAAGACACAATCACTAGTGGAACCATTTGCCTGCCACTTTTCCCACAGTGACAGATTTCTGGGTCATTGCCATAAAATATGCTTGGAGTATTGTGCTCTGATGTATGCATTGAATTTCTCAGCCACATGTTATTTGTCCTAAGTGAATAGAGCTTCCCTTGGCTTTTCTTAAGTATATTCCAAACCTCTGGCTAAGTTTTCCCTTTCAGACTGTGTTTGACTTTTATGCATGATTCAACTGTCCAGTTCAAATCAACAGTCCTACAGCTACAGGCTCCTTTGTGAATTCAATTTGCTTGTCCATGGCGCAATTTCTATACTCAGTTTGGCCTTAAGGGGACACCATAAAGGTGTCCCAATACAAGTGAGTGAGACCTAGCCCCTCTCCCATGCTGAAAGCTGCTCAGCAGTGTAATCTGTTTAATTTGCCCCGTGGTTGAAACAATGTCCTCCCTATGGCAATGTGCACTGGATAAGCTTTATGTCCAGCAATAAATGTCATCAACGTTTGTCCCATGCGGTGGATCAATGTAAGTTTAGTCATGGTCTGAGCCTAGATCCAGAACCTAGGTGCCTTTTTTTTTGCCTTTTAAGGAAGGGTCTGCAGGGTGTTCAGGGTCTCACTACTAGATCAGACTCAATAGCGATCTGCCTGTTTACAGCCTCCCAAGAGCTGGAACTAAGGGCGCACGCTACCACACCCAGTCTCAATTGCCATCTCAGTGTGCCCCAGGGACAGGGCCGGCACAGCAGGCCTGGTGGGATCGTACCCCCTCCCCCTGTGCCTGCTTGCAGGCACTTTAACCCGCTGAGCTGTTTTGCTGGCCCCTAGCTGCCTATTTTAAAAAGTTGGAAACCCACAAATGCTTCTGAAGGAACTCACTCTTTGTGTTGACCCTCACTGTCTGGCCTGCAGGCGCTAAGCAATATCACACTAGCTTTCCAAATACCACATGCACCGGAAGGCAGACATAGCCTTTGCTTCTGTTGGACATGTGAGGGTCCAGAACCCAAAGACATTCGGGGCTGCTGGACTAGTCAAGACCCAACTTGCACACAGAATCCTTTTCTAGTCTTTCAGTCCATCAGTAAAATCTGGGAACAGATGCCAAATCTCTTTTGTCTTGTTTTTTTTTAGCAAAAAAAAAAAAAAAAACCACTTGTAGGAAGCCCTGAAGTTGGCTCATATCACGTAGACACAGCTGACAACTGAGCTCAAGGTAATAACACCATGGGCTTAAAAACAAGTCAAAAAATGTAGCTAGAAAACACACCCTAAAAGAGAACATTCTAGTAAGAAAAAAGCTACTTTTAAAATTTCTCTTGATAAATGTTGGGCTACATTATATTTCTATTCAGGAGAAATTCCTGTTACTGAGTTACGGGGTCCGCGTATGTCGCATTTCTGTCTCAGCTGTTGCTCCCTTTACATTCATGACTTCAAATGTAGGTTTGAGTTTGTTTGTTTCTCCAAGTTACTTTCCTTTATGTTTTTATACCTTGTTCTGGTACGAGCAGGTTAGGTTCATTTCCACGTCTGAAGCCCTGTGTGTCCATCTCGTATCTAGCCACCTCCAGCCCGCAGTTCTCAGTCATGGGGTTGTGGCTTCCCAGCACCACCGTGGACAGCTCTCCCAGGGTGTTTGTTTCCATTAGTTCTGAAACCTCTTATTTTTAACCTTTCTGTCTCATTTCTTTTAAACATCACATTATTACTTTCTGATCATAACATCTGAGTTTTATTATTTTAAAATATAAATCCAATCATCTGGTTTCTGGAAATATAAATCAGATAAAGTCTAGATATAAAATAACTATTTCAATTGTGTACATATTTACTGTGGCTAATTAATATTCTCAAATGATCCAAATTATTCTCACTTATTCAACAAACATATATTCAAGGCATTTTTTAGTTTTACAGGAGGCATTTTTTTAGTATTACAAGAGGGGAATTATGATTTTGACATTATATAAAATCTGTTATAAAACAATTGGTAAAATAAAACTTACTCAATATAATAAGTCAAAGTACTTTAAAGCCTACAGCAGAGTGAGGAGAATCTAACACTAGTAGAGCAGAATGTAAAATGGGCTTATTTCCGTCTTCCTGCTCAGCTCTCACAGGACCCTGGGGACCCACACAACTTCAGGAAGTGGTTTTGTAAATCTCCAGACCAACATGGTTTAGTCTTTGCATAGCAGATTCCCAAATTAAAATCATTAAATGTCAATACATGCACACAGGTTTTTTTTCTATTCCTTTTTTTGTATAACTTTAAAACAAAGGAAACACAGGCTCAGGTTAAATCAAAGTTATTTTCATTTTGCATTTTTAAGTAGGCCCTGTTTATCCTTTAAAAACATTTTAGGTATGAATGGGAGAGATTGAAATTCACCAAGTAGAAGACAACTATTTTGAGATGTCAGTACAAGAACCTGGTCAATGGGTAGGAACCGATAAGTAGATCCCCTGGTGACTAAGCCAGGCCAAGACATCTCTTTCTGATCAGCAAGGGTGAAAGAAGAACCCTGTGAACAGCACATGGGACACACTGCCAGGAGCGTGTCCACTTTTCCTTCACTTCTCCAAATTAGCATCCTTGTTTCCTTCATCCCACTCAATACATTTTTCTTTAAAATTTTATAGAATGGTTTATTTTATGTTTCTAAAGAGATCACACCTCACAGCTGCATGTACATCCTTAAAGCACTCACACATTCACAACTGTGAATCAGCAAGCTGGGGGAACACCTGGTAGGGCAGATCTGCCTGCAGGACACACACTGTGTCCCTGCTGCAGCAGACATTGTTCAAACCCAGAGCTGCTGAGACAGAGATGCGTTTGCAATGTGGCAAGTTCATAAGGAATAGCAATTGCACCTCACACGGGTTCCCACAACGTCCCTTTCTCTAGGCAAAGCACTCAGAGGAAGGTTTTGCATGATATTTGGGTTCTCTTTCTTTCAGATTAGCTTATTTCAATTGATCAGCGGATTTTATTTGTCTTGTGTTTTCAGGGGTGGGACTCCACCCCAGCCCCTGCCTTTTGGGGAACAGCCTCCATTGCACAAAGACTCACAATTTGCCCACTTATGAGATTCAAATCATTTACTAATGCAAAGAATGTTTAAGCAAATAGTGGCATTCGTTAAAGAGGTTGCAAATATCCTGTTTGTGTGCATGACTTTTGGTGAATACTATTTAACAGACTCTCTCTGGTAAAATCACAGAAGTCATTTAAACTTTCTTTTTTCATTTCAGCCCTGAATTAGGAATTGTAGGAGTCACACTCTACCTTTAACATTATTTATATGAGCAGCACGAACATTTAATAGACATAATTTGCCTCCCAATAACACTCGAAAGAAAGAAGGCTGGTGAAACACTTGACGCCATCAAGACTCTCTGTTTTATATAAAATAAACAATAACTTCATTTGTGATATTAGACTCAAGTTCAAAATCTGTGTCCTTACGCAGGCTTCTTCCACATGCTGGTACAAAATGCATCCAGGTAAAATTTGACCCTAAGATGCAGGACTCAAGGGAAAATTGAATTTGAGACTCCATAAAGCTGTGAAAACTCACCATGCTCTGTATTACAGCCTAACACAAATTAAGTTAAAAAAAGTCATTATTTAATTCCCACATCAGTATTTTACACTTCAGTAGAATAAATTTACTATTTAGAATTGTTCCTTCCTTAAAAATTCTGCTAGTCTAACTCTCTGGCCAATGCTTTATATTCCATCTGCCACGCTTCTCCCAGTTCACTAAATTGGTTTCATTTCACACCCTTCCCTTCAACTGGGGCCAGGAATTGAAGCTGAGGTCCTCCTAAAAGGTTGAAA